TGTGTGTGTGTGTGTGTGTGTGTGTGTGTGGTTCTTTGCTGTAAGTTGGTTCAAACGATGGAAATAGATCGGGTTTTACACGGATCCAGCAATACCAAATTCATAACGATGCCCAAGAAGATATCCATGGGTAGAAAATATGGGCCAAAATCACTATTTTAACCTTGTTAGGAAACTTTAACATGATCTGAACCCCTTTCAGATTATTTAGCATGATTTGACCCTTTTATTCAACGCCAATGCTTCTAGTGTTTCTGTCCCACCTAGACATGCCAAACTTGTCAGCGTTTCTATCCCGGCATGACCTGGTTAAGTAGCCATTAACCTCCTACGTGGTAGGGCAGAAACGCCAAATTGTGGCACCTTATTGGAAGCACTATAGGGCCTGGCGTTTTTGCCCTGAGAAGAAACATCAAGGCTTGAGGCATTTCCGGTTACGCGTGCCGCGACCACTTATCTCTCCATGGAAGAAACGCCGGCAAGTTTGGCATGTCTAGATGGAGCAAAAACATCATAAGCCTTGGTGTTATCAAAATTGTCAGATTGTGCTAAAAAATCTGAAAGGGCTCGGATCGTACTAAAGTTTCCTGACAAGATCAAAACAATGATTTAGCTAAAAATATGCCCAATGCCCATACCCAATGGGTATCCATGCCATCGGATATCCATTAGGGCCTCTCTTCATGTACAAAATTGTTTAGATTAAAATACTGAATGCGACAAGGCCAACCAAATTTGGCCCCATACACTCAACTTAACTCTTCCACCTGAGTGTTTTTTAAGGGTTTGATGGAGCTGCTAACGTGGAGGTTTGAGATTGGATTAGGTGGGAAGGGGTCCACCCTCTGAAAATCAGGTGGGGAGAGAGTTATGGTTTTGGAAAATTAAGTAAAACACTCGTATTAGTTCGTGTGTAGTATTATTGGTTTAATTGTACTGTGCAGCTCATTCCCCAAAAAGAACCGCCAAGCAGGAACTCTTCGACTCAGTCAACAAAACACGACTAGACACATGCTGCATCCCTATCTGCAGACTAGTAGTCTGCACAGTTCGCTCTCCGGCCACTAGCATGTCGTGGTCATTCGATTAATGAAATCAGCTATCAGTCCATGTATAGTCGCGAGCCAAGAGCAATCCCAGCCTGAATGCGGCTTGGTCCACATGCATTATTATTAATTTTTTCTCGTCTGAATGTGTCCACGTCTCTGTATTTGCAGTCTCTAGTGGGACGAACTATTTGTTTACCTTTGCTCGCGTGCATAAAATGCTCACTTGTTGGATTCAGAGTACCCCAACCCTCTTATCCTATTGAAATTTGAATGACGATGGAGAAAGATAGATGAATGGTTTGCACGACCAACCACTTGCTTCAACCATCCGCAAAAATCTCAGCCCATGATCGATGGATAGTGGAATACCACATACATTTTTCTGAGACTTATATCACATACATTAAAGTGCTAGCAAATGTACCAATGCACCACGTAGGTGCACTGCGCAAAGAACCATGATCTTGTTTCGCGCTCAATTTGGGGCACATATCTGGCCAGGAACTGCGGCAATTTCACAGCATCGATCAATCATAGGCTCATAGTATATAGCCATGTGAAAATAGCACATAGTGCATCTCATTGACCGGCCGTCAGTTAAAATATAAACTGCACATCTATCTCCAAGCTATATACTCTATCGTAGTAGTAGAACTTAGTCATCTGAGACGTTTGAAGCAACTGTGAATATCCCGTTGATGATTGTGACTTTGAATTATTCTGCAACTGTTGATTTGACACTTGCCTCCATGCATGCACAAGTTGCACCGTAACGGCCCCGCAAAAGAGGAAAATTTTGCACGCCAACGGCAGATGTGGGCACTGGCCAGTGGCCACTACAATCGTCATGTGCCGGAAATGACCAAGCCTGCGAGCGGCTATATATATCTGCATGGAATGCAAGGCATTGCATCCAGTGTCTCGACCTACCACAAATTCACAATTAAGTGACGTTGCATTTGAGCTAGCTAGACATGGCCTCTTCGTCTCTATCAGCCGTGTTGCTCTTGTGCCTGGCCGTGGCGGCGTCGGCGCAGCTGTCGCCGACGTTCTACGACACGACGTGCCCGAACGCTCTGGCGACCATCAAGTCCGCCGTGACGGCCGCCGTGAACAAGGAGAACCGCATGGGCGCGTCGCTGCTCCGGCTGCACTTCCACGATTGCTTCGTCCAAGTAAGCTCTTCAAATACATAGACTGAGCCGGCACGCACCTGTTTTCGTTGCAGTTTTGGTTTGTAAACGCCAGGGTGCAGAGTTAACCATGCTGCTTAACTACCTGTGCAGGGTTGCGACGCGTCTGTTCTGCTGTCAGGCATGGAACAAAACGCTATCCCGAACGTGATGTCACTGCGAGGCTTCGAAGTCATCGACAGCATCAAGGCGCAGCTCGAGACCATGTGCAAGCAGACTGTCTCCTGCGCCACATCCTCACCGTCGCCGCCCGCGACTCCGTCGTCGCCGTAAGACCTCCAACCTGTGTCACGTCGTGATCACCACCAAGTAGACAGGCTAATTTGCTCACCCGGGATTCTCATCTGGTGCAGTTGGGAGGGCCTTCGTGGACAGTTCCTCTAGGAAGGAGGGACTCCACCAACGCAAACGAAGCGGCGGCGAACAACGAGCTACCTCCCCCATTCTTCGACCTCGTAAACCTCACCCAGTCCTTCGGCGGCAAGGGCTTCACCGTGACCGACATGGTCGCACTCTCCGGCGCCCACACCATCGGGCAGGCGCAGTGCCAGAACTTCAGGGACAGACTCTACAACGAGACCAACATCAACTCCGGCTTCGCGACGTCGCTCAAAGCCAACTGCCCCCAGCCGACCGGCTCCGATGACCGCAACCTGGCCAATCTGGACGTGTCGACTCCGTACTCCTTTGACAACGCTTACTACAGCAACCTCAAGTCCCAGAAGGGGCTCCTGCACTCCGACCATGTGCTCTTCACGGGCACCGGTGGCGGCACCGACAACACCGTCAACAACTTCGCAAGCAACCCAGCGGCGTTCAGCAGCGCCTTCGCCTCCGCCATGGTGAAGATGGGGAACCTTAGCCCGTTGACTGGCTCTCAGGGCCAGGTCAGGATCAGCTGCTCCAAGGTGAATTAATTGGGCAAAAATGGTCATATATGTGGGATTAATAAGGCTAGCAACGGCCATTATAGCGCTTTCTTGGACCATAAGCTTGTGAAAATACGAGATGTGTCATATACGTATGTCAATGGCCCTGTGCAAAGGCATGAAGGCCATGTGGTGCAATAGGAACTATCAATGAGCAACTTCCCTTTTTGTGATGTATAACAGACTTCTACGATATGAATTATTGTCGCTTCATCCTTTGTCTTTTAAAAGCCTAATAATACTCACTAGCTACATTATGAAACGGAGGGAGTATGTCTTAGGTCAAATTTGTGGTCAAAGTTTGACTTAGGTCAAATTTGTGGTTAAAGTTTGACGCAAAATACAAGAGGTGCCTTTAAACTTAAATGGAGAAAGTACATGGCAACCTTATCTCAAGGTAAACACGCTCCAAAAGTATTAAACACACCATCAAAGTACTCATACATCCCATAATAATGTAGTACATTGGTCTCTTAAAAAAATACATCGGTCTTGAGGAACACCCAGAGGATTCAGTGGACGCGGTCGATGCCAAATCTTTCAAAGTTGTCACGTTAGACATGTGTTTGAGCATCCGAACAGCACCCTCAACACTGATGCAGCAGCGCACGTCCAGGCCAGTGAACACATCAGACGCAAAAGATTTCAAGGAATCGGGATTAGGCATTGTGAAGCGAAGCAGATGAACACATCAGGGCCTTTGCCGTTTCGCATGGGGAGCATGGGTACAACAGAGGTGAAGTCAATGTGAAAGGGTGTTGTACGTGCGACCAAAGGAATCAGCCAACATGGAGTGTTCTCTGAGTGAAGAAATCAGATGAATTGAAACTTGGCTTACGCAGATCGTTCCATGACTTGATCATTGATAGTTTATTCTTCTTCTCATTGCCTTTTTTTTAACACAGTACAGACGCAAGCGCTTATATATGCGCATACACTCATCCCTATGAACGCACACACGCACGGCCTATTCCTATAAGCACCTCCGTAGGAGCCTCGTGGTCGACGTGAACGTCTCCTCCCACTGAACACGATGTCGCCGAAAATACTGAAATAAATCCAGGATAAATGCGAGCATCAAGATTTGAATCCTGGTGGGCTGAGGATACCACTGTTCACCTAATCATCGAACCACAAGTTGGTTCGCCTTCTTATTGGCTTTTGATGCATGTTCTGCTGCTTGCGCTGCAGTCTCTGTTGTTTCGTAGAAAAGGTGCAGGATATCCATGCAGTATAGAGGATACATCTTGTCCCTGATATCTTGCACAATCAGATTCAGAAACCGACGATTCATTCTGTTCTGCCAAACCTAATAAATCAAACCCTCCTATCTAGACTAATTCTCTAAGAAATGAAGCTAATGTTATTTCTTGGATTGAAACAGTACGAATTATTGAGAATCAGATAACGCATTACGGCGAAAACAAATCTATCTGTGCCAACTAATAAAGCAATGTGCATTTTTCTGATTTTTTTTCATCATTCACCATTGAAAATAGTTTCTTTTTTCACCCGCAAAAAAAAGAAAATAGTTTTTTTCATACTTGGGGCACGCGCACTATGGCCCAGCGAAGCCAGCCCGCTTATTTTCCTGCCCCTGCAGCTGGGAAAACCCTATTTGCCGCACGCTTCAGCAAATAGCCAGAGCTTCACACAGGACGCCAATGTTTTTTTTTCATTTTTCAACAAATGTTAAGAATTCCAAAATTGTGTTCCTGTCTTGAAAAATATTCGGTACTTTAAATTTTTGTTCTTGTTCCAAAACTAAAAAAATGTTTGTGTTTTCCAAAATTGTTCGAGATTTACCAAGAAAAATTGCATTTTAAAAAATGTTCCAAATTCAAAAAATAGTTTTGTTCTAACGAAATGTTTGTAAATCAAAATAAAGTTTGTGTTTTAAAAATATATTTTCCATTTTTTTGAATGTTCAAAACATGTTCCCTTTTTAAAAAATTATTCACAAATTCAAAACATGTTCATCTTTTTATAAAAGGTTCATGTTTTCAAAACATGTTTGTGAATTTCAAAAAATCTATGGCTCAAATTTTGTTCATCTTTTTTACAAAAATGATAGGAATTTCAAAAAAAATGTTTGGAATCTCAAATTTTTTTCATGTTTTCAAGTATATTTGGCAATTCCTAATTTTAATAAAGTTCAAAAAATAATTATTTTGAATCTAACGTTGTAGTATGTTTTTAAACATTCGCGCTGGCTAGCAGCACATGATCGAGGTTTTGAGGTCGTGAGTTCAATCCTTCAACTCAATGTTTTTTTACCCGCAACTTACAAACAGAGATCATTTTGGTACCTGCCAGTGGGTTAGCTGAGATGCGAACTGTTGTGCGTACCATGCGCTATTTGACGATAAAACAGAATATGCTGGTTGGCTATAATTGAAAGAAATTGTAGGCACGTGCCAATGAAGGAGAATATGTTGGTTTAGCTTTAATCAAAGAGAATAAACCCGATAAAGGGACTGCCTAGTTATGTGCTAATTATGCTAACGAGGCGGGATTTATGCGCTGCAATTAGTAATCCACCTGGTTACGCTGTCATAGGAGAAAGTGGCCGAGCTATCATAGGAGAGAGTGGTCGAGCAACCGTGCCTCGAAGGTCGCCACACATCCAATAATTGAGGAGGCATCCACAACTCCGACACAGAGGCGGAACCGGAGGAAAAAAATGCACGAGTTGGGTGGTCTCCTTCACGCCGACTAGTCCCACCATTATCAAGATCTCACGGGCCAAACAGACCCGTGAAAAGACCGCAGCTCCTCGGTCTGTCGTCCCACTCGCGTGAAGACTGATTTTGATGGACACATCAATTATTTCTCTTGTTGCTTCTTGCGAAAAATATTGCAACGAGCATATGTGCTAGTGTAAAATAAATAAATATACATGGAGACCGAGGTACACACCTGTGGCAAAATCCCCCTTGCCTCCAATCCCCCTTGCGGCGCAACGATTTCTTGACTTTTATGACCGTTGGCGGCGACGGCGGTGGCGGTGACACAGGTGAATTGTTTGGCTACCTGCATATATTTTGGGCATTTTGCATATGTAGCCCGACTCAGCCTGAGTGAATACATGTATCTTTTTTTTCATGTTTTGCACATTGTTTGTTTGTCTGCATCCTCTTCGGCCTCGCCGAGCAGCAACATCGACACTTGTGTTGGTTGCTTGCATGTTCTATCCAGATGTAAAGAGATGTTGTTTGGTTAAATACAACACAAGTGCTGTCCTAATCTCTTCTAGGAGTGGCGAGGTTACCAGTACACACACATAGTAGCATCATATATTGCACAACCATAACCATAGCAGTTCAAACAAGCTAACATCACAATAGTGCCACATAGTCTTCAAACTGGATTAATATACCAGAGATAGGAGCGAACCCATTCTAGGTACCCTCAGCAGCACCCACATCATCCATGTTAAATGCTTTGTGGTGCGGCCTGCACTTTGCCACCACCTCTTCAAGTTCGCATGACTCATCACCATGAAGGTGAGAAGGCACCCGATCCTGACCTCACGAGCTAAACAGAAGGCGGCTCAACCCTTATCAAGGGTGAGCCAGCCGCCGATCACCAGGGTGGTGATCTCCAGGTGCAGGCATTGTTCGTCGTCAGCTTGAATAACTCTAGGACAGAGACGATGTTCTTGCTAAAGGAAGGGGGCATCTACAGAACCTCCAATTTAGTTCCAAAGATGGTCTTGCAGAAGTGCACCGGTCTGGTGTTCTCCTGGTAATGATCATACTTCTTGCAACACCAGCTTGCCCTTCTTGACCGAGGAGATCCCTTTTCCCTTCTCGTCATAGGCCACCTCCTTGCCCTTGTGATCAACAATGACCTCCTTGCCCTTCACGACAGCAGCGACCTCCTTGCCAGCCTTGTCACTGCCACCCATGACGAGCTTGTCAATTTGCATTGAACATACACATATGTACTAGGGCTCGAATAAAAAATGTACTACACGTATGATCAAGATTGTTTTGGAATCCAACGAGGAGGAGGAGCACCAGGCGTTGGAGATGCTGGTGAGGGTTTCTCATCCTGGATGCTCGACAATGCCCCTCAAGGTGGAGGACTACAAGTTCCAGGTTACCATGTGTGTGTTAAAACTCTCGAATCGATTCAAGGGTTTGTTCAATGTACAATTGATACGTCTCCAACGTATCTATAATTTTTTATTGTTCCATGCTATATTATATCCTGTTTTGGACATTATTGGGCTTTACTATACACTTCTATATTATTTTTGGGACTAACCTATTAACTGGAGGCCCAACCCAGAATTGTTGTTTTTTGCCTATTTCAGAGTTTCGCAGAAAAAGAATATCAAGCGGAGTCCAAATGGAATGAAACCTTCGGGAACGTGATTTTCGGAAAAAACGTGATCCAGAGAACTTGGACCCTATGTCAAGACATCAACCAGGAAGGCACGAGGTAGGAGCGCGCGCCTACCCCCTGGCGCGCCCTCCATCCTCGTGGGGCCCCCGTTGCTCCACCGATGTACTCCTTCCTCCTATATATAGCTATGTACCCCCAAACTACCAGATACGAAGCCAAAACCCTAATTCCACCGCCGTAACTTTCTGTATCCACGAGATCCCATCTTGGGGCCTTTTTCGGAGCTCCGCCGGAGGGGGTATCGATCACGGAGGGCTTCTACATCAACACTAGCCTCTCCGATGAAGTGTGAGTAGTTTACTTCAGACCTTCGGGTCCATAGTTATTAGCTAGATGGCCTCTTCTCTCTTTTTGGATCTCAATACAAAGTTCTCCCCCTCTCTTGTGGAGATCTATTCGATGTAATCTTCTTTTGCGGTGTGTTTGTTGAGACCGATGAATTGTGGGTTTATGATCAAGTTTATCTATGAACAATATTTGAATCTTCTCTGAATTCTTTTATGTATGATTGGTTATCTTTGCAAGTCTCTTCGAATTATTAGTTTGGTTTGGCCTACTAGATTGATCTTTCTTACAATGGGAGAAGTGCTTAGCTTTGGGTTCAATCTTGTGGTGTCCTTTCCCAGTGACAGTAGGGGCAGCAAGGCACATATTGTATTGTTGCCATCGAGGATAACAAGATGGGGTTTATATCATATTGCATGAGTTTATCCCTCTACATCATGTCATCTTGCTTGAAGCGTTACTCTGTTCTCTTGAACTTAATACTCTAGATGCATGGTGGATAGCGGTCGATGTGTGGAGTAATAGTAGTAGATGCAGGCAGGAGTTGGTCTACTTGTCTCAGACGTGATGCCTATATACATGATCAAACCTAGATATTCTCATAACTATGCTCAATTCTATCAATTGCTCAACAGTAATTTGTTCACCCACCGTAATACTTATGCTCTTGAGAGAAGCCACTAGTGAAACCTATGCCCCCCGGGTCTATTTTCCATCATATTAATCTTCCAATAATTAGTTATTTCCTTCGCCATTTATTTTACTTGCATCTTTATTTCTCTTTATCATAAAAATACCAAAAATATTATCTTATCATATCTATCAGATCTCACTTTCGTAAGTGACCGTGAAGGGATTGACAACCCTTTATCGTGTTGGTTGCGAGGAGTTTATTTGTTTGTGTAGGTGCGAGGGACTCGTGTGTGGCCTCCTACTAGAATGATACCTTGGTTCTCAAAAACTGAGGGAAATACTTACGCTACTTTGCTGCATCACCCTTTCCTATTCAAGGGAAAACCAACACAGTGCTCAAGAGGTAGCAAGAAGGATTTCTGGTGCCGTTGCCGGGGAGTCTACACAAAAGTCAACATACCAAGTACCCATCACAAACCCTTATCTCCCGCATTACATTATTTGCCATTTGCCTCTCATTTTC